CCCCCGAGAGTCACACTGGATCGTGTGTTCTGGAAGGTGGCATCTGAGCTGGCTCTTTCTTCACCGGGTGTCTTCTGAACAGCGATAGGTGGCTCTGAGCGTCAGGTTCAAAGGGCGAGGCCTCGGGGGCACGGCTGCCCCGGGGCCACCACCCTCCCTGGACGGCCCAGTCTTCCGGCACTTTGATGGGGCAGGGGGGTGGGGGACAGACAGCTTTGAGCCCAGCAGGACGTCTGGCCTGGAAGCATCCAGGTGCTGGGTCTCTTCTGGGTCACTAGTTCAGAAAAATCTGGCCTGAGATTTCTGTTCAGTGACGTGTTTGGTTGCCCTTTTGTTTAAATTTTGGTTTTCAAAACGGAGCACCATGACCTTCATGGAAAGTTCGGAAAATAGAGAAAACAGTAGGGGTCGCTGTGGTTTGTGTAACTTCTTATTTTCCACTGGGACTCCCGCCTTTCGTTCTAGAAAAAAAAGCTGTTTCCCTTCCCGTGGTCCCCACGCCCTAAAGCACCCAGGCCATTAGGGGCGGGCGGGCAGAGGTCAGGCATTCCTGGACTTCTCGCCAGGCCAGAGGGTGCGTCTCAGGGCTGAGTCCTTCAAGTGGGTTGGTGTTCCTGGTGCAAGTTCACAGCCTCACCAACCACCCCACCCCCACCCCCGTGATTGCAGATCGCGCCCCCTCCCTCCCTGGCGGAGCCCCTGAAGGAGCTGTTCAAGCAGCAGGAGGCCGTGAGGGGGAAGCTGCGGCTGCAGCACAGCATCGAGCGGGTAAGCGGGGGCGGCGGGCACGAGGGGGCGGCGGGCACGGGGCGTCTGTCCGGGTGAGCCCTGCTCATCTGGCTGCTCTCCTCCAGGAAAAGCTCATAGTCTCCTGCGAGCAGGAGATCCTGCGGGTTCACTGCCGGGCAGCGAGAACCATCGCGAACCAGGCGGTGCCGTTCAGCGCCTGCACCATGCTGCTGGACTCCGAGGTCTACAACATGCCTCTGGAGAGTCAGGTGGGTGACCGTCCGGGCCCGGCCCTCGCTCTCCCGTCTGCAGCTTCCCAAGAGGAGCTGGGCCTCCTGGGATTCGGCTGCACTGTGGGCAGCGAGCGGGAAAGGGCCGCATCCCGCAGGTAGCCCAGCCTGGTTCAGTTCCCCAGTCCGCGCCAGGGCCGGGGAGGGTGGCGGCGACCACACGGCGGGACACGCAGCAAGCAGCAAGCACCCTGGCCGTGTCGAGAGATGCCCCGCTCCAGGGTCCTCGTGGACGCAGTCTCTCCGCTCACTGAGAGTTCTACTTGTTTCAGAGGAAAATTTAAATAAGAGACGAGTGGTATCCAGGCGACTTGCTCTGCGGAGGCCCCACGGGAAGCTGTCCTGCGGCAGATGGGGGCAGAGCAGGGCCCACGGCGAGGGGAGGATCCTGCGGGCCCTGGGGTCCTGCTGGAACAGACTTCCTGCCTGGCCTCACCTGCTGGCCGCTCCCAGCGTTGACCCAGGAAGGGGTCCCTCCTTCGCCCCCGCTGTCCCACCCCCCATGCACCCAGGCCCGGGGTCAGACCGACACGGGTTTACTCCCCGATTTGTTCTCTTCCCCAGCCGCCTCCGAGACTTTTTAAAGACAACCCTGAACGTGTCATTTTGGGCCTGTCCAAAAACACTGCTGTCTCCTCGGGCCTCTCCTGTCCCCTGGCCAGCGTGCGCGCCTGCTGCACCCCAGGCTCACGTAGCTCTGCACGGACCCCTGGGGCTCTGGGCAGCGTTCTCAGGCTGGCCGTGTGCAGACCGCAGTGGTTCCGTGGTTTTTAAGACTCTTTATTTGCACATCAAGGGCTTTGCCTTCACTTACATGCAGTCTTTAAGAATTGATCATAAATTTAAAAAATAAAAAAACCTTTAAAAATGAAAAAAAAAAAAATTGATCTTAAAAAACTTTCCCCACTAGGGGTGCCTGGGGTCAAGAGTTTGAGCCCCTGCATTGGGCGTGGAGCCTACATAAAACTAAAAAAATTTTTTTTAACGTTCCCAACTGAACATAGTACATATAAAAACAAGATTGGTCTAGAGCAGAAAGAGAGTCTACAACCCAAAGGGCTGGGGCCTCAGTGATCACCGCGGGGGCTCTGTGCCTCTGAAAGAACCAAGGGGCTGGAAGACTTCCTGGGCTGCTTCTGAGCCTGAGGACAGTGAAGGCCTCTGCCCTGCCGAGCGTCTGCGGTGGGGCCTGCACTTGCTTCCCGAGGCCGCACCGCAGACACTGTGACGTGTGACGGCCTCCCGGGACACCCAGGCCGCGGGGGCCGGTGAGACCACCACCCTCCGTCCTGAGGCTTTACCTGTTCGTGAGCCCGTCTGTGGGCGCGGGGCTACCGTGCGTGAGGACAGGGACGTGAGGTTGGCGCCCCGCCCCCCGGCCAAGGCACCTCAGGTCTCTTCAAAGAGAATTACAGACCGAAGAGACCAAAGCATAGCCCTGCCAGCCTCACCGTGCGCGTCCCCGTGACTCCCAGGGAACGCAGTAGGGGCCGGGGACTGAGGGCGCCCATTTGTTTGTGCCCAGCACACATCCCCGCACCCCCCCCCCCCACACTCGGCGGCCTCCTGGGGACACGCCAGCCAAGCTCCTCACGGAGGGGCGGCAGGGGGGTGACACGGACCGTGGGCTCCTCTTGACTCTTCCCCATCCAGCGTCCGCGCCTCTCCCCTCAGGGCGACGAGAACAAGTCCGTGCGCGACCGGTTCAATGCGCGCCAGTTCATCTCGTGGCTCCAGGACGTGGACGACAAGTACGACCGCATGAAGGTGAGGACCCTGTGCCCTCCCCCGCCCGGGCGGCAGCGGGGGCGGGGGAGGGGGCAGCTGCTGCCGGATCCCCCGTTTGCAAGTGACAGTGTCAGACCCCGTGAGCCCGGCTGATGCCTTCAGGGAGCTGAGGTCTCCCCGCCCCCCATGTTGCCTCCTTAGAGTGTCTTCCCTCCTGTCCAGGTGTGCGGGGAGCAGCTCCTGTCACCAGCTGGCGGTCAGACCTCTGTGGGACCCCACCTTGAGCCCTCCTCAAAGGTCACAGCACACACCCATCACCACTGCTCTGGACGTGCTGACCAGTGCAGCAGCCAGAGAGCATGGGTGGGAGCTAGAGAAAGATTAGCAAGTAAGAAGCAAATCCCCACGTGCAGGCGCTAGGGCCGTCCACAGGGCCGTCCACAGGGTCGCCCACGAGAGCCAAGAGACTCGGCGGCACAGTGGGCACCACCCCGGGGCAGCTCCAGGAGGCAGGGCCTGGGGACGGG